CAACCGGGACAACTCGGTTAAAGAGAAGCAGAATCTACAGAAGAAAGGTCATGACAAGGGAAGGGTGGCAGAGCGTCTTTTCCAATGCAACGAATTAGTGAGGGTCAGGAATTTCACTAGGGGAAAGGAACTTTGGCTGGGTGCTCGCGTAGTGAAGGTATGTGGACCTCGCACCTACGTAGTTCAGGTGGGGGCATCAAAGCGATTTGTCCATGTTGATCACCTGATCAGAGCCACATCTGGAGATGATTCAGAGCAAAGTGTTACATCTGATTTGTGTCCCACCAAGGGTTAACATCCCAACACCAGTTGCTGCCTTGGCAGATCGAGCCCCGACTGGCCCCGAAAGGGTGATAAATACAGAAACCATTCACAACAGTGAACCGGTTGTTGAGAAACAGTCTCCGGGGGTGGACGTTACTATGGTACCTGATAGTCCTTTACCAACTTCTACCGTCTCACAGCAAGAAAGAAGATATCCTATCCGACAAAGGAAGACCCCGCAAAGACTGGACCTCTAAGCGTTAAATAGGACCTCCAGGAACACTAAATTTTTGTTATATTGTTTACATTTTAGTTAACATTTGTTTAATCCCCTTTTCAGGGGCGAGTAATATAGCACATTTCGCCATGTTATGTTACCGGGTTCYCTGTTTCAGGGATTGGCGCATGCGCTTTGGTCATTGCATTAAATGGAGTTTGAGCACACGGCTTGTTGTGGTTCAATCTGTCCTACATACACCACAACCACAACTAGCAGTTGGCACTGGGGTCAACCCCAAATACATGCGTTCAACGAAATAAGGAGAATGCTCAACTCAGGCCCGGTGTTATCGCTCTATGATCTAAACCTGCCAACCAAAGTAACACCAGACAGTGCATCATACGGACTTGGTGCAGTACTTACCCAGAAGCAATCAGATGGACGCTGGAGCCCAGTYGTGTACGCATCACGATCTCTAAATCCTGAAGAAAGGCGTTATACGCGCAAATTGAAAAGGAAGCCCTTGCCGCAACGTGGTCATGCTCAAGATTTCAAGACTACCTCATGGGATTATCGTTCACATTAGAAACATACCACAAACCGCTGGTCCCTCTACTTGGCACAACGAAGTCATTAGACGAGCGAAACAAAGATTAACTCAACGGTATCACACGACATTATTGGCCATTCAGAGCAAGTTTAACAATGATCGATGGTTTATTCATGTACGACTCAAGAATTGTAATTCCCTCCTCACCTCGTCAAGACATACAAAAACTTCATGTAGGTCATCAGGGGATCGCAAAATGTCGAAGACTTGCCATTCAATCTGTATGGTGGCCAGGACTAAGCAAGAACATCAAAGAGTTGATAGAAAACTGCAGAGTGTGTTGCCAAGCAAAAAGGTCAAACCCAGAACCACTGAATCCCACTCTCATGCCACAACGACCTTAGCAAAAGCTTGCAGCAGATCTCATGGAGATCAAGAAATCACAATATTTAGTAGTAATTGTCTATTACTCGCGATAATAGAACTTGCAAAACTCGAAAACTCAACTGCAAGCAAAGAAGTGATAAACCAGCTTAAGTCAATCATGGGAAGACATGGAATCCCTGAAACAATGTTAACGGACAATGGTCCACAGTTTTCTTCCAAAGAATTTACATTATTTTCTAATGAATATGGATTCAGCCATGTAACAGATGTAACAAGCAGCCCTCTACACTCATCAGGAAATGTAGAAGTCGAAAGAGCAGTTCGTACTGTTAAAGATCTGATAGATGGAGCTAAGGACTCATATATCGCATTGTTGAATTACAGAAATACACCTCTTAACAATGGATACATTCCAGCACAGTCGCTCTTGTCAAGAAATCTAAGAACAAAGATAGCGGTCGTTCCCACACAGCTACAAGCTTCTACTCTAGATCAAGACATGCTCCAGGAGAAAGAGGAGAGAAGGAAGATAAACATGAAACTCAACTTTGATACACATCACTCGGCTAAACCATTTTCTGTTCTACAACAAGGAGATCAAGTTTGGATTAAAGACAGAAAAGAAAGTGCAACAGTTAAAGACAAAGTGCATGAGCGATCATACCTTATCGAAACACAGAATTCCACGTTTAGGAGAAACAGAGTGCAGCTGAATAAGTTACCAAAGAAAGAACCTAACTCGACCCAATCTACACCCACAGCAGCAAACAAAGAAAGGACGAAGCCAGAACTGCCTACAGCACAACAGAAAGCTTAAGTTATGCCAAGCCCTCAGATACATCCAAACTTACAAACAAGATCCGGAAGAACCATTAGGAAACCAGACAGACTTAATGAACATTGAACTTTAACTTGTTGATGACATTTATTAACTAGAAAAAGGAGATGTAGTGTTATCATATATTATATCCTTTAGTTCGGGTTACCTGTGTAATGTAACATGTGTCTTGTATTCAACATGACGGTTTAGTAAAACACACGAGACAACAATCCGTCTAAATCTTACTCTGAATCATCCATCGTAGCACAACAGTCCAGATCGTGACCGTTTTAAAAACTTGACCCGTTTGAACCTTTTTAAATTTAAACGGTTTTCAAAATGTCCCAGCAAGGCTATCTCTATGTGTACATGTTTTTTTTTTATATAATATTTCGCATTATTAGTAGAGTTTCCATTTACCTGAGAATCAAAACGCTAACGTTCGGTTCCGAGCGAAGAGAAAATCTTTCAAAGAATTTGTCTCAGCAAAAAACTAACAAAAATCAAAGAATTGTACAAAACTAAAAGAAAGCTCACGAGCTGTAAGATATTATTTTGAAAATATATTTCATAAATAATATTAATAATAACTCTAAATTATCGTTATTATGGGTATTATCGATCAAATGTTTGATAATTAAAATGTCAAGAAAAACTCTCACAACTTGTCACATTCAAATTAAACAAACGGCTGGATCAACGTATTATACTGTGTGATTAATATAGAAACAAAATTAATTCTGAAAAAAAAAATCAAATAGGACGAAATTAAAAAGCGAGATGTAAACAAAATATACATAAAACTTACCTGGTATTTTGTCACGAGGCTGTACAGGAAAGGATGTAAATGTCAAAATTTTTCATAAGTGCAAGAATAAATATCGCAATTTTCAGCGAAACGGATACTGCTAGGGTTTCTCTCGGTCTTCGAATGAAAATAGCGTCGTATTTCCTAAACTTTGTGGGTATACCATTGTTTTGAGCGGAAAAACTTCTGAAAAATTCCCTCGCATGGCCGACACAAACTCCAATTTTAATAGACCAAAAATGATGTCACAAAACGTATTTCCGCGGTGTTCCCTCTCTCCACCCAAGCATCAATCCATCCCTCCCAGTCAAACTACGGTTTTACCTAGAACAAATTGCAACATAAACTCTTTCATTACGAATCTTTAGTAGAAGTCATCAAAAACAAGATATAAAAAATCATGTTTAATTCGAGTGGTACAACACCTTCAAAATTGCCTTTTTGTGCAGGCTTCTCTCTCCTTTAAAATGGAAATCTCCTATCTGCTAAGAGATCAAGGCAGTAACCAAAATATCAACACTGTGATGGGCAATGTACCACTTCGAGCCTACTTGGGGTATCAGTTATATGATCAGAAGAATAAATCTTATTTGAACATGGTGAGGTCTGATGAGAAAATATTACCTCGTCATTAATACGGAAAAATGCTATAATTTCATCAAGCAAAGTATATTAAACGATTTAAAATAGATGAAATGAATCTTCAGATCTAAGTCCGTAAAGCCAAGTATGCGTTTTTAGAATGATTGCCAAATATGCTTTTTAGGATTTTTTAAATGCCACATGCTTGGTTCTGAAAAGGAGGCTGTGAAGAACAAAAATATTGAAAAAAACAAGTCCATTTGATGTTTGACGCCGAAGATTATATTAAATTATATTCAAATGGTACCATACATTTTATGTAAACAAAAACCTTTCCACCGGAAGTAAATATTTTCCCGGCATGAAAACGCTCACGCGCCCGCTTCTCCGATTGGATACCATAGCCGCCAGGTCGTCTAGAAACGGATATGTCAGTACACCCTTAATAGTCGATTTTGCTCGATTTTTCTGGACAGTCGCTCTTGATTTGTCAATACGGACAAACTGGCGTCTACCATTCCGATATGATTTAAACCATTTGAAAGATACTTCATCCATGCCATAAGCAGATGACTTAGAAAGTAAAAGTTTTTGGTCAAACCATATCGAAGGCTTTGCAGTAATCGATAAGCAATAAGCCACTGACACGGTTTTTGTCCAAGTTAAAAAGTAGCTGGTCGACAAGTTTTATAAGCGCGGTATCAGTACCATGTTTTCTGCGAAAGTCAGATTTTCTCGAGCACAGTAGATTATTCTCATTCAAGCAGTTGACTGACCCTTATATTCTCGAAGGGATAACGCGGAGGGATATAAAAGGTAGAGCCACGTGTTCTGGAGGGAGTTCTAGTTCTACCGCAGTGTCAGTGTTAGATCTACTAAGGGAAACCTAAAAGCGTCCCTTACGGTCTGTCCTAGTTAAGTTTTGACATAGGTCAGAGTCTCTAATGTAAAAAATCCAGAAAATACAGCAAAGGCCCAAAACAAAGATATGAAGTAAACACAACTACGTTTACACAGTTACGAACATTCTGAAGCTAACACGTTTGACTAAATATTTGTCCTTTCGAATTATATTTTGGCTTGAAAATTCATTTTTTCGCGTCAGCCTCTTTTTATTGTACGAACAAAAAGTGGCCGGAAAAACATTTTAATTTGAGACACTTGCACCGCTCGGATTAAATATGATTTTTGATATGTTGTTCACCATAACATTCTGATCAGAAATCCGTTAGAATATCTTCTGTTGCAATTGTTCTAGGTTGGCCCACTTTTTTTGCTAGTACTATTGGACTAATACAACTATCCACCTACCTAACTATCCATCAACCCATCATTTAAATATCTGATCAATACAATGTTATTTACAAACCTTAACATAAATGTGGTCAGCCAAAATCTTTATGACTATATTGTTAGGGTTTTTCTGAGAATCAGTAAAATTGACCTTCCTTTTTGTTCTAAGATGTTCTTCAACATAATTCATGTGAACGTTTCTTCCAATTATTTTGTAAGCGTCTGTCAAATAGAACGAAAACTAAATATCAGTTGTAAGGAATATTGATGTGGGATTGATACAAGTAGTAGAAGAATGTCCTTTTTAAAGGACATTCTTAAGGTTACTGTGGCCCTTCGCGGCGTCAATTTTGACGATTTTTTTTATTAACAGATTGTTTTACATGAAAGGGAATCTTTCTAATTCAAAAAAAATATTTTCAAAAAGTTGTTTCGATCGCGAGATATTTAGGGAAACGCATTTTATCGAAAAATGAATAATACTGCTGAGGTGTCGTAATCCCTAGATTGTGTGACGGCTCCGGTTGAGCATTTCGAGTCCGATGCTTGTGTTGTCGGCTTGTTCCGTTGTATTTTATTGTGCTTTCTCTCTCAAGTTCAGGTTTCAGGTTTTTTAACTTTCTTTTTTGGGGGCATATTTTCTAACATCTAACTATTCTAAGCTTCCCGCGAAATCATATATGCCGCGAAATAAAGAACATTTCCAGGCACACCAGGTGAGTCGCGTTTCTAATTGGCCAGTTGGTTGACCTTTCTTGACCGCGATGAAAGATGATGATTCTATGTTTACACAACTTCATTGCTTGATATCTCGTTTAGTGTTTTTCTCGGGGTAGCGAAGTTTAAAAGAGTCCAGTTCCTCGCGATTACGGTAAAATGTTATGAAAATTTCCCAGAAGCACATGCAACTCATGAATAGGAAAATCTTGTGAGCGTTTCTCAAATTACGTCTTGGTTTTTGTTTTATAAAGGTTTATATCAAATTACGCCAAAAAATTGCATTCTTCGATTCAACTGTGATTTATTTCTAAACTAAGTAAAATATTAAAAATCGCTCACACGATTTGACAGATAGGTATGTGTTGACTTATATTGTACAGTACTTTCGACTATACAGCCAAACGTGTTGACACTGAACTCTTGCAAACAAGGGTACCCTTGTTTAGTTCAGAGCGTTGAAACGCGTTATGAATAAGAACTATTGTCATAAAAATTACATAGACATATTCTCTGATAATTCAGCTTTCATATGACATATAATACTTTATAAAAGCGCGAGATCCAACGCGCCAATGGTTTTTTTAACGAACGGACGCCGCGAAGGGCCACAGTAACCTTAAAAGACGTTTGTGTTGCACGTTCATGAAATAAAATAAAGTAAAACTGGTGCCCGGACAATTGCATGGTTAAATATACATCTTTAATCAGTAACACCACAGACATACTTGTGATTTTCGTGACTCAGAAGAAAAAGATAAAAAAATTTAGAACCTTCCCAAGACTCCAGTGTTGACATAAGCCAGGAGTGTTCCCGTAAAAGATATTATGCGACTTTTTTTTTTTTTTGCTTTATAGTCTACTAGATAAATTTTGTTAACCTTAATAAAAGACGTGCAAAGCAGTAAAGTACCACCTATTCAAGGTCCATTTTATACTCTATTCAAGACACGAAGGCCCAAAACCATACTCTTTTAGTCGGAAAGCCCTCATTTAGTAAATAATAAACTAGATTATATAGTATAAGTAATTATATAGAGAATTCCCCTTCCCTTCCAGGCCCATTCCAACTGTACGACGCGTCCGCACATCCGGGAGATTTGTGAAATATAAAAACACAAATTTCCTTTCACGAACTTTCAAGACTTAGTTTTAAAGCTGTCTTAAAGACAAAAGGAAAGCAGGATTATTTTTCGCTTTGATATTTCTACAAAAAAAAAAGATGATGCTATTGTAAAGACAAGCTCAAATAGTAAGGATCGTTCTGATTTGCCAATCGTTTATTCTTGGTTCTCACGTACAGTAATTAAAAAACTATGGTTATTAATTTGTTTGGCGCAAGATGAGGATGGGAGCAACTATCGAATACCCCGCAAAAAAAAAAAAGCTTGATATGAACGAAGGCTACGGCTACGGGTCAAAATAAATACATTCGACTTCCTGTATTCATAGAAAGAAGTAAAGACTGTGACCTGTCTTCCTGTGTATCTTACATAACGAATTAAAGACTATGACCCGTAGCTGGCTACATGGCTACACCGGCTACGGGTCAAAATGAAGTGACCGGTCTTCCTGTGTCTTATATAGAACGAAAAATTCACTATGACCCGTAGCCGGCTACATGGCTACATAGAAAGAAGTAAAGACTGTGACCTGTCTTCCTGTGTATCTTACATAACGAATTAAAGACTATGACCCGTAGCTGGCTACATGACTACACCGGCTACGGGTCAAAATGAAGTGACCGGTCTTCCTGTGTCTTATATAGAACGAAAAATTCACTATGACCCGTAGCCGGCTACATGGCTACA